AACCTGACATCACATCTCCGTCTGACGGTCATCCAAGCAAGACAATACCACATTCACATCCACATACACTGGACAAGTCAGATACATCAATGCACCGACACATAAGACAACAATCACGTTCAAGGTGGGTGAATCAGACGGGACCACATCGATCACTCTGATCGGCCGAATGAACATCATCGGAGACATCAGATTCAACATAAACGGAGGGAACAAGTCAAGCGTACCGGGTTAGCCTTAGGGGTTAGTTGGTTAGGTTAGCTTAGGGTTAGGGCGCCCAAAAAACGCGAGGGAGCGAAGCGACCGAGCGTTTTTTGGCGCAGGGATGGTCGCAACAGAGAGAGGAGCGGGGGCGAAGACAGAACCGACAGTGGCTGAGGGGATCCCCAGCCAGCCCTGTTTCGCCTTTATAGGCTCATCAGGGTTCTGCCCGAGATGACCGAGCGACACCGGCCGGCCGAGAGGCCGACACGGCGACAACAAAAATATCAACGCCAAGACGACGGAACGGGGTTACGTACCTAATCGGGAACAAAGAATCCCGCACAGAGAGCCGCACGGGAGCCGAGACACGGCAGAACACCAACCGTAGGAAGAAACATCCCAACAGGGACAGCAGAACCCCGACGAGCCCGACCCGATCCGTTCCCCTCCGAGCCGAAGCTCGGCGTACTAAGAAAGGGCGAGCCGGCCGAGATGCCGCCGTGCCGCTGCCAAGACATTCCCACTGCGGAGATGCCGACCGGGCCGACCGGCCCGAGGAAGCCGAGACTTCTACGGACAGCCACCATCAGCTTACGTAAGCAAGCTGACCCACGTACCTTATCGTGGGAACCCTAGCCTTAGGGTTAGGCTAGGGTTCGGAACCCCATGGTTAGGGGTTAGCTGTTAGGGTTAGCCGGTTAGGGTTAGGCTATGTATCAATGTTCCTTAGTTGACGTTGATTCCTCTTTGGTCAAGAGGGGTACTTACGTTAGGGTTAGCTTACCGGTTAGGAGACCTGTCTCATAACGCCTAAGGTTAATACCGTCTGCGCGACCAAGTGCAGACCGAAGTACCTACAAGATTGTTGTTCTTTAAGAATCGCTACCACGGAGCGGATAAAGTCATTGCCTATACGAATTACGTCAAGACCGGGGAACGTATCCCGCATCAGAGAGTGTCAGCGGTCAGGCCAGGGACCTCGGCATAACCAACTAGTTGGCGGTACAACCCAGGAGTCTAGCCACTCACCTGGGACGGTAACCCAGGGGTGTCAACCCATTGCCCTAAGGGATTCCTCCAGCAGGCATCCAGAAGGAAAGCTGTTGGCCCGAGGCACACAATACCACCGACACTTCCGAGACGAGCAACTATGGCCCGAGAACATGACTACGTATAACTGTAAGTTCCAACCAAACTACCTTTCATAGTAGACCGTCGACGAAGTCGGCGTGTTGAGGACGGACGTGAACAGGCCCTGTCGCGCTAGAACTGGCAGCTCACCATCAGTAAAGTCGATGGGATCACACTCCAGTAATGCAACCTACAAGAAACACCAAAGGTTTGACGTAGAGAAGCCGAGACGAGAGAAGGCGGCGGCCAGTTACGACCATTCACCAAGCCCCAGCTCTCCAGCCTTTGGATGTTGGCGACGACGCCCGGTGCCCTATGATTTCTCCTTTCTCGTCATATATGAAACGGTCCTGCCGTTCCATAAAGGCGGAATAAGGCTCCGGTGAGGGCTCAGGTTTCGATGGTCCAGCAACGGGCTCCCTTTCGGGCTCAACCGCTACATCAGGGGCATCATCTAGAGAAGGTTGTGTAGTGGCCTCCTCGCCTAAGCCGGCGTCTATCCTGAAGAATACTTCGCGCTTCCAAAGATTTGTTAAATCCATGAGATTCCTCGTACGTTTACGAGAAACCAACACGCGCGCCGATGGGATACTGAGTTTCGATAAATCTGGCAGGTATGTAGTCTGCGGGCTGAGAGGTGTATCATCCCTGGCCGACTCGTCAGAGTCGTCCAAGTCCACAAGGTCGCGACTAACGACTTCTGACAGAAACTGGCCATCAGTCTCGTTACAGTCCCCGTAGTCATTACCAAACCAGGGAAACTCCCGGTTGTACCGACCCTCTTTTGCTCTAACGAGCCAAGTTTTGCAATATCCCAAGATAGTATCTCCTAACTCCGTGGCGGAGAAATAATTCCATGCGGTGTTGTACTCAGACTTAAGGACCAGAACGTCGCTCGCGCCATCAGATATCTGACGAGAAACATCCAATCGGACATTCCAGCGTTCTGTAACGTGCTTCCTAGCCCAGGCTTTACACAATTCGATTGGATAACCACGTGCATTGTACAGATTCACTAAGTCGTACACGGCGTCCTGGTAGACTGGTAAGGTACTACTAAGCGTGGCCAATCTAGACATCTCGCCGATGAAGGTTCCTCTCTTAACGTCGAGGGGGTGGGCGGATATCCATGGAATTCTCTCCTTGTGGTTACGCGCTTTCTGATACGGTCTATGCTGCAAACTCCCGTCAGAGTCCCTATAAAGCTGCATATCTAAGAAAGGCATTGAATGCTCAGACGCGTTCCACTCTAAAGTACATCCATCGAATTGTACTTTACTTTCAAGAATCGCCACAGCTTCATTCTCACTGTTAGCATAGACGATTGCGAGACAGTCATCGATGTATCGACCATAGAAGGGTATTCTAGGGTCGGTGAGGATGCCACAACGTTGCTCGAAATACCAACCGTATAGATTGGCTAAATCAGGCGAATCAGCGACTCCCATCGCCAAGCCCTGCAACTGTTGGAACATAAGATTTCCCCAAAATGTACACACCAGCTCCCTGTTCCCGATATCGAGACAGCGATTAAAAATATCGCAGGCGAAATTCAGTCCATCCTCTTCCAGAGGGGTGTTCAATCGTTTACCCATGTAATAGTCCGCATGCATACGCTTGACGATAGCGAGGCAATGGTCTAACGGGATATTTGGATAGAACGCCACTACATCGCCAGTGACAATGTAGTACTTTCTGTTTTCGTCGAGAGTTAGGTGGCTCAATTTAATCGCCAGGTCTTTGGTTCCATGTATAATGGCTGGCGCCTCTTGGATGAGAGGTTTGAGTCTTTTACTACAGTATTTTGCAGCGGGATTTTGAGCGGCCGAGTGACAAGGTATTATAGGTCTCATTTTAGTCGGCTTCTTATGGATCTTTGGGATACCATAGAATAAAGGAATGCTTTTTTGCATTGCTCAATAGTTTCCCATAACTGTGATCTGAGAAACTTCCCTAGAGCATCCGTATCAATGTTCTGCTGCGCCATATACGCCGAAACAACAATGTCACAATTAGTAACATCGCC